ATCAAACAATTTTAAATAAATGTGAAGTTAATGTTATGTTAATGTACCTTTCACTGTTGTCAAAATATTTTATCACAGGCTTTGAAATCTTGAAAAAGGTATATGTAGAAAACCCTACATCGGCCATTTACTCCCCACCCACGGCACCGTGTGACTCAAGTTCAAGGGCTTTCAGATAGGGCGCGGTATGCGCCTAGCAACTGGCACCCAACATGCACCCGATTTGTGCATGTGCACCCTACTCCCCTGTGCTGCGCCCACTCCCCCACAGTGAGTGCAGCGCCCACTGTGTCCTATCTGAAAATGGCTTTCATCAAGCATACAAGACTGTTACCGTGTGGTTTTTAAACATTTATTGCAATCTCTAAAAACTACACCACAATTTCCCATGATTATATTATAACCACAACTATTACAATAATAGTCTAAACCAGATCACTGTAAATGAATGTGGACCTTGCATATTTAATAAAGGATTAATCTGACATGAATACATCTTGTATGCTAAGGCATTGTCTGTTTGATAGTGTTATTTGCAGCAACTCAGACCCACAGTTATGACCACACTGTGGTTTAAACATCTTAAAATTAACATGTAATAGTGTCCAAACCATAGCTTTTCCCATTTAGATCCAAGTCAGGTAACGTCTTATAACTGCAATAAAATCACTGGGCAGGACAAAAAACAAAACAAAACAAAACAAACAAAAAAAACATTCACATTTTTAGATCTCGTTTGCTTACTATGTTTTCCCATATGCTGTTCTCTATCACAGATTCTGTGGAATTAAGTATTCTTCCTTAATCTGTGATCACATTAATTTTGTGTATGGCTGCCTGGATACAAGGGCTCATCCTACCCACTCGCTTGGCTTAGCCCCTTCTCTCCTACCCTGTCAAGAACAGCTTAAAGAATAGGTCAGAGCATCAAACTCTGGCACTGTGGTGACTAGACACTGAAAAGCAGGGTTCTCTCTGTATACCTATATAAAGTCAAAGTGCCTAACCTCCCCTGCTACAAACGGGCCTCCATCTGCCTGCCACTGTGTGAGCTTTCTAATCAGCTCCATATCAGTCATTCATAGCACATTCTCTTTAATAGAAAGAGGGCCCCACAGAGGATTGGTTATCACCTTGCTAATTAGTCTCAACACCCTGAGAAACACCAATGACATCCTTCTCATAAATAGCTCTGTCCTGTCTGCAGCTGTGAGAAAGTATACACCAGCAGCATTGTGAAATTTGACATTTGTCCTACTACCTTTAAAGGGAGCAAGGAGAACTGTCGGACCCAGTCCGGCCCAGCAGAAAGGTTGCGAAATGGACAGGCTTGCCACTGTTGTCACATCCGTGTTCCTGCACATGTTTGCTTCATCAGTCAGTAAATTCTTTATCTTGGAGAATGTTTTTCTCACAGGAAAAAATAAATAAATCACTCACATCCTCTCCGCCACTCTTGCCTATGTCCTGTATCCTATCTCTTTGTCAAGTGTGCACTGAACAGAGCCTTATGCTTGTTCTCTTAAACCCAGATGCAACCCTGCACCATCTTTCAGAAAAATCCCTACAGGGCCATATTTATGTCTATACTTTGTAGTGGCATCATTTTCTGACAAAGCATCCTGTACATGCTGCCACCTGTCAGGTTGCAAACCAAGTATTTACAGAGTAGCACTTGGCAGTCTCTCTACTTGGGAGCCAGCAAGTTTCTCCAATATGACTCTTACTGCTTTAGTGAATTTGTTAACACAATCTTCTGTTTGTGACCAAATGCATGTACACTGCTCAAGCAGCATCTGAATTCCTTCTATTCTCCAAGGTGGAGATGCAAGTCTAACCCTGTACTAGTTTGTCCTGAATATTAGCATGTTCTCTCCTTGTCTGCTCTGGAAATTCAAACACCTTAATTTGGCCTGGCTTCCTTTTACAGTAATTTGTATTAATGAAGTAACTCCTCTTCGCTAATTTCATTTTTATGTCACAGAGATCCTGAGCTCTGCTATCTGTATGGATGTCTGCCTGTTCAGATCTACAGTTTGTTCTGTTTTCTGAGCTCCTGAGTTTGTTGCTGTGCCTCAACTTTTTGTATAAATCTTTGGAATGCTCAAGTCTCTGGCTGCACTGAGTCAGTTTGGACTGCAGGTCTGAAATCTTAGCTTCTGCATCACACCGATGTTTATTTGTGGCCTTTTTTCTGCATCTTGTCCCTCTAGCTACTTCAAACTCGATCGGCAGCCTTCTTTTATCAGCACTGCTTTCTCAAGTCCTCAGCATTTTAATCAACATTCTTAACAGCACCTATGTCACCATGTACACAGACACCTGCTCTGTCAGTGCCTCTTTGGTCATTTAAGCTTGAGCTTCAACTTTCCCATTCTTGAAAAAGTACAAGCCAAATATGTCTGAACAGCTTGAACATACACACTTTCCTCATGGATATCAAAGCTATAACAAATCACCTCCGTTCACAGTTAGGCAGAACCATCACTTTGGCATGTTGTTCTATCTCAAACATAGGTCTGCTGGTTGAGAGACTTAAAAACTTCAACAGACATGTCAGAATTTACACTCACCCTTTCACCCTCCCTGTACTCCCCATCATCCCTCCTCATTTTACTGTAGCTCATTTTCTTTTACAATATCTGCAGTGCTATGAGGGGGGCATTTGATTTGGTGGATTTGAATGTAAATAGGTTACTGTGTGCAGCTCCCAGACTAAACTGAAAAGAGCCTTTACATAATTATAGCCAGCCACTATCAGTAAGTCTAAAAATGTCTGTGTTGGTGACTGGTTTATCAACACAAAGAGAAACACCGGTTAGCCATGTTTGAACATCGTGAATATTAACTACTGACACTGACAGGAGGTTTGCTTAAATGGCCATCCCATTCCAATTCAGTGATATGAACCGTGTTTGAGTTATGGGTTTTAAAACTGAACCTCCAGGTGGCAGCTCTGATGTCAGCAGCCTGCGGATTCTCTTCCTCCGCCAGTCTCGCTTCTGGGGGGCGCTCCCCCGTTTCCCATACACCAAACAAAAAAGTTCCAAACAGAAAACAAACTCCAACCACACAGCGTTATACGCAAGTCTCTGCTGAATTTATCCATATAAAAAAAATCACATTGTTCGTGATGGACTTGGGAGAGCACCGCTTCAGAAAAGCATTCAGAGCTTATTTTCTATAGCGAAAATATGATTTTTCCATGGGGAACATTCAGGGCGAGCAGGGACAGGGACTAAAACCCCTTCGGGAAGTTTTGGGACAAATGAGGAGGCACTGGGTCCATTTTGCTTATGAGTAGGCTGGACTCCAAAATGAGGATGGTTTATAATGTAGTTTTTCAGACTGAAAAATAAACCGATGATGATTAACTAACAGCTGACACGTCTCACTGTCTTGTCTCCTTTACAGGAAAATAGAAAAATTAATTTCAGTGTTGATAATTTTTTAAATGTTTCTGAATTTCAGTCCGATGCCCTCCTGCTCCCATTGTGATTCCATTAGGGGTAGAATGTTTGACCTCCACAAGCATCAATTTGTGAAGTTGGGTGAATACCAATCGAGTGAGCTGGACATTGTATGTGGAGTTCCTCAGGGTTCTGTTTTGGGACCTAAATTATTTATACTATACATTAATGATATATGCAAGGTTTCTGATTTAGTGAAAGTGGTTTTGTTTGCTGATGACGGGAAAGCACTACGTATTTTGTATTCTTCATTGATTTTACCATACTTAGAGTATGGTGTTGAAAACTGGGGCAATACATACAAAAGCTCACTTCAACCATTGTATATATTACAAAAAAGAGTGATAAGAATTGTGCATAAGATGGGGTATAGGGATCACACCAATGTAGCTTTCATACAGTCTAAATTGTTAAAATTTTTTGATTTAGTGGGATATAAGACTGCTGTGTTTATGTATAAAGCCAGGAACAATTTATTACCTGGTGGAATTCAAAAACTATTTAATGAAAGGGAAGGGGGATACAATTTAAGGGGTCAGTTAAATTTAAAAATTCATGCTATACGTACAACCAAAAAAAAAAAAAGATGTATTTCCATAAGTGGGGTAAAACTATGGAATAATCTAAGTGTAGACATAAAAAAATAGTAATAGAATTGACGAGTTTAAACATAAATATAAAAGGTATGTGTCAATCAAGATATATGCAAGAACAGGCTTAATGATTAATTACATGGAACATTGTGGGTGTGGGGTAAGAATGTTAACTATTTGTAACAATTCTTTAGTATATTACTTGTGTGGTGTAGAAGATAATTATTTAAGAATGTAATTATGTATGAATGTCAACACTGTTATAATTTTTTTTAGCATAATACTTGTGTGGTGTAGAAGAGAATCATTTACGGCTTGCAAACCAATGATGGTAAGATGATGTCATGGGGTAGGACTGGGTAAGCCTGACTTCTTCCTACTCCATTCAAGCATGTACTAAGTATAAGAAAAGTGATATTGGATTATGTGTACAATCATGTGTGTTGTCATATCAACTGTTTTACATGCTTGAAAGAATAAATCAAATCAAATAAAATCAAATCTATATCAGCAGTTGTGTAGCCATCTGCTTACCTTGCGAATTGGACATATACATCTGCGTTTCCGGCAAATGCGTTTCCGGGACTCGGGGCTTTGTAGTCCATGCTTGCAGTTGGCACACTGCCCACAATTTGTCGTGTTGTGGCATCCCACACACTGCCCACATGGAATCCACTACAGGTGACATGAATGATAATAGAAAGGCAGGTTGGTATATTTTATAACACATTTTAAGGCATCAAGCAATTTAGTTCTGGAAGAACATACAAGAAATACATGTTCTCAGTGCTGAAAAATATTTTTTTTCCTTATGCACCTTTTTTCCTGCCATGTCAGTTTCAACAATGTGACTTCCTCATATAAAAAAAACACTGTGGGAACTCTGAATCCATTGTTTCCCTTCTTTATTAATGATACGTGTTCAATAGACCATTTGATATTTTCACTCGTTAATTGTTGTTGCTTTACCTTTCTGAAGCGAATCATTGGATGCTCTTTCGTCTTTGAAGCAGCTGGATTTAAAAAGAAATAGTCTATCGTGAGTACAACTGTAAGAAGCTTCTCACTTTTACTTTCATGGTGGTTGTTTTCATGGTTTTCTGAAGCTATTGCTGCATCAGAATAGTGATTGATAGATAATTCTCAATATATGCATGTAGTTAATGATGGAGAAACATTCCACATGTTTGTTAGACCCCAAGGATACATACAGTGTGTCACAGTGAGTACCACTGAATGTAATGTTTATAACAACAAGATACCTTTGAATTTCAAGGGGTATATTCAGATTTGGATTGAGATAAATCACAAGGTTTGTCATGCTTCTAAAACAATCATTTATTTTTGAATAATTATTTCCAACTGCCAGTGTTTTTTAGGTTTTAGCCCAACATCTCAGCCACGCAACTCTAGTGCTGCAGTCAGTAGGACTGTACAGTGAGTTGCTCAGATGCAAAACAGACACATTTACCAATCATAAATTGTACATTAATCTATCATAGTTATCAAGAAGACGTTTTATCATAATAACTATTGTCATAGTTTTATCACAAAGCCCGACATCAAAGTAACTATAAAACATGAAGTGACATACCCCAACAGGTGGGACAGCAGGGCCTCTTCCTTTGTTTGTCATACGAGGTGCCTGTGAAGGAGATGCTACATCTAGCACAGACCCTGCAGAGAAATATGATACTTAGTCCATCTTCATGTATCAGCAACAAACTAATAAACCCAACACCTTGCTAAGAAACTTTATGTTGCTTTTCCTTTGTCACCCTGTATACAAGTATATATAATGTAAAAATGAAGGAATGGACTCACAAAGTGCTGTCCTCTGACCCAATCTCTCCGTTTATAGAAGGAAGTGGAAAGAGTTTGGATGAAGAGGGAAGGGGGAGTTTAATTTTTTCCTCCACAGGTGGATCCTCATTGTGTGAGACTTGGCTTGGAGTTCCCACTGTACTGTGTGAAGAGACGCTTGTTGGGTTGGGCAGGACATTTTTGAGCCCCACACCAGGGGTGAGCCTGTGGTGGGAGTCAGGGGTGTCAGCGCCCTCTCCTCTCTCCACAAAACTGGACTCTGATGAAGAACTCTCACGGATCTTTTTCTACAAGATAAGAAAGTGAAGGAAACTAACTATAAGACAAACACATCTTAAAGGTTTTAAGTAATAAAAGAGGCCAATACCTTAGCTCTGTTTCGAAATCTTGTGGGTGGTATTTCACCATCATGGAACTTTCCTGTCTTGTACTCAAAGGTTGACAAGTCATGTCCCTCAAGTACAGAGGCCAGTTCAACCCTGCTCCTCACTCGATCACCCTGTGGACTGTGAATGAGAAAAACAGTTACAACTAAAAAGAGTTGTTTTGTCCATCGAGTACAAACACCTCTAAATACAATTCAACATCATTAGGCTAAAACATACAACTGACACCGCTAGGTCAACAAAAACTGAACATTACTGACATTATAAAAGTAAACTTCATAGCAGAACTGTTGTACTGGACCGCATTAGATTATACAAGTGTACCTAATGTAGTGGACACTGTGTTTATGAATGGGAAAAAAATAAGGAAAAAAAAATTTTAATTTTAAATTAAAAACAACTCTAAAGTTGGATGTTTTATTAAATTCTATGAGACAGTGTTTACCTTAGGTAATATACATCCTTCTGGCCAATGCTGCTACCTGAGCGCCGAACAACTTCTTTTCGTTTCCAACCCTCTCCAAGTGCTGAACAGTCTTCCCATCCCTCGTCAGGATGCGATCGCTTACGGCGGGGAATATTTAGCCTGAAATTAAAAGAGTAGATGGGAATAACATGTTCAAAATCTTTATACCGCCTGGAAAAAAAAGCTCACATCACAATACTGTGCATATGACAATAAACACTTTGAATCTTGAATCAGTGGTACTGTGTGTTTATTTATGTCAACGGATGGAGGCAATAGACTCTGGGGATTTTGGGTATTGTGGACAATTTTTCAGTATTGTTTATTAATACATGTGCATTGTGTGGAGACTTTGTTTTTTGTATTTGTGTTGCTCTGCTTAAGATTCTGGATATTATAAGGAGCTTGTTTAAGAGCAAGGTCCTTTGTAGGGTATTACTAATATACATACTGACATTGAAATATTGGGGGGGGCTCTCTATTGCCTCTTCAAAAGTCTCGTGGGACCCGTTGTCATGGCAATATGTACGGAATCTCAAATATGCTTGGGAGAAGGTTAGTTTTCAAGCTTTTTCAGTGTAAACAAGATAAACTCATCATCATCAGTTACATAATTATTTGTAGGAAAAGACTGAAGTGCTCTAATGTTGCACAGAAAAAGCTAAATGTCCAGAATATCAAACTTGATTTAAAAAAACTCATTTGATCATTAAAGTAAAGCTATTAAGAAAAACTAATAATGGCAGTACAACTAAGAGTAACAGGGTACATTACAGTGATACCAGTTTGCAGAATATTTTTGTACTTTACTTAGCCTACCTATAATGCAGAGAACATATGAAGCAATAGGAATTTGAGTGCACACAATTTCATCATTGAAACAGTTAGCCTATTAATAAATGAAAACGATGTAGGCATCTCTTGTGTGCACTGGAATTTCTTTTACTCAGTAAATGTAATGTCCTGCTCCAGTTTGTCACTCTGTTGGATGTATGAGCATACAGCTGTGCGCAGGATTATTTACATTTTTAACAAAGATAGGCTACTACAAATTGAGCAATCATATCAAGCAGAAGCTGTCTCTCTGCTGCTGTAACAGACTGCACTCTCTCCCTAGACACCTGTGTGTCAGAGACCAGTTAATCATGGTTTCAGCTATCGACATACACTAAATGGGTTCTGAAATCCTTGATCCCGATCAAACTGGAGCAGGACATTACATTTACTGAGTACGAGCGGACATTACATTTACTGAGTACAAGCGTGCACACTTATCTTGGATGACTGAATCCAGTTTTTCTAATCGACAACACAGGTGGGGTTGAAGAACTGAAATATGTGGATAACCTTAGCTGGCATTAGAAAATCCAGGATTTCTCAATTGATCTGGGATCTATTTTGTGATTTTTGTGACTATTCATTAGCAGGTACTCTGAACATGATTTAACACATAAGACATATGTGGTAAATAAATATATACACATGATAGAGTATGCACTCTAGTATTCATTGACCAGCTATCACCATGTACGTCATAAAATTAATGAATACAGTCCTGTTGATTTCAGTCACGATTTTGTAATCAAGGTAATAGCTTCTTTTCTAAGGCTGCAGATGCCCATAAAAATATTCCAAACATAATGTCATTCATTACCAGATGAGAATACAGGGCTCCACAGACAACCAACGCGTTGGAAAAACAACACTGGTTGACAGCATATTACATTGTTACAACACCACCACAGATTTAAGTACATTATTATTCAACCTACGTGTATATCTTTTTGAAGGCGTTCTCGCTGCCTGCCACGCTCTCACTCCTTTCACTTTCTCCCGCCAGGCTTTCTTCTTCAGCATCATTTCTACCACAGCTATTGGCATCATCATCATCATCTTCATCATCATCATCTTCAAGGGGCTCAAACCAGTCAACAGGGGCCTCACTGGCAGTGGCCTTGGCCTCCACTGTCTCTTCTCGGGTTTCCTTTGCATCAAGACTGTCCGAGCGTGCCAAAGGCTCCTGTGCTGGTTCTGCCTCAGAAATGTTTTCTGCTTCACTGCTCTTCTTCTCTGTGCTTTGTCCCATATCTTCCTTCACAGGCTCCCTGTAGGAGACCGGGCTCTCAAGTGGTCCCTCGTTCATGGGTGCGCTGGTTTAGGCTACAAACGGTCCAAAGTGTTTTCCTGGGGACAAACAAGATATTCTCTATAGTTGGTCTTGCAACCCACTTAAAGTGGTGTATCTTCACACTGTTCGCGGATTGAGCCACGAACACAGCAGCAGTTTTGGTAGGTAGATGAAACGTCAGGATGGTTGACAGATGTTTAGTGTTTTATGATAAGAGTGACAGCTACGCTTCAGTAACATTATCTTAAAACAATGAGCTGGCGGTGCTCACACATTTTTAACATTATAATCGACGGCAAGTACTCAGCCAGCGTACAGTTGCTACATCATTTCGAGATATTTACGACGCAAACTAACTACAGAGTATGCGTCCCAATCACGTAAAGGCTGGAATCCATAAATATAAAACCAAAATCACCTCCCATAGTTAAATATCTAGTAGCAGGATGTAGCATCCTGGTACTAGCTAGCTAGCGCCAGCATGTAGCATCCTGGTACTCGCTAGCTAGCTAGTGCTAGTTAGCTAACCTCAACTGCTTAAAGTGTTACGATGGTTACCGAGTTATTTGCCTAGACGTAATTTAATACCAAGTTGCATAATACCAGCAGTACGGTGTCAAGACATCTTAACAATCCGGTACGCTAGCTGGAGTATAAATACTTCAACGCTAACTGAAAATGGGGCTGATGTTAGCCGTAACGTTAGCATTACTATGCGATTATGCTGAAACGATTTCTCAAACATTAAGTTGAGAGCTGTTGTAACCATATCACTACCACTTCACAAATGTTTGCAGTTTTGAAACAACACACACACCTTTACAACGATATTCTCCAGATGCTTGCCACTCTACTGGCAATATTTGATACTGTCTCTTACGAGCGGCAACCGAAACTAAATACTATGACCTGGATGACAGAATCTGCACAGATATGTCTTTTTCGAGGTAGTCATCATACTTCTTCGTCTTCTTATTATTATGGTGTTTATTGGCGGTTTGTAAGCCAACCCAAGGCGCATTACCGCCACCTGCTGGGCTGCAGTGTGGTACAATAATATAGCCGAAGGAATAATAAAAAAAAAGGTTCTTAGAACTGCATAAAGTACTAAATCCTATACAAAATACCTATATCTGCCAAATAACAAATAACAGTTGTATATGCTGTCTTACAGTTGCTGCCCAAAAGACTCTCTAGTGATATAGGTAGTGATCACGGTCGGACTTGGAAGCATATAAAGAAGCACATCGTTTTATGAAATGTTTCAAATTTCGGTAGTTTCGCCGCTAGGGGCTGAGACCACGGTGAATCCTGGACAGCAGACTGAACATTTGCAGCTGCTGATTCCGAGTCAGTTGACACTTGCAGTACCTGATAATCAAACAAGTTTGATAGTGACAGCCAAACGAGGCTTTCCTGGGCAATGACGCTTTGTAGTCCATTCTATCACCGAAAGGTTCATTACTCCAAGCCTCATTTGACTCAGCGTTCATTAGTGACACCTACCGTTAGAATGATGAAGTGCAGCCATGCAATGTCTCCCAACCACTGTGCCGCGGCACATAAGTGTGCGGTGAGAAATCATCAGGTGTGCCGTGGATGGAAGATTATCCAATTTCACCGGATTGGTACTCTAAGCGAGCAGCGTGTAGTGACAGACAGAACAATTACATGCTCTTCCACTAGAGGGCAGTATCGCGCTAAATACGAAATCGTGCTGGGAAGTTCGGATCATTGTACTGATTCGGTTCTTTGAATCTCGTTCAGCAAAATGAACGAATCCTTATTCGAGTCATTTTGTTCATTTCATTCACTTCATTCAGGTAGGATCTGACATATGATTATTGTCAAAAACGTATCTTATTTGTCAGTGTGTTTTGTTCATGCATTGTCCTGGCTTCCTGACCGGTCTTGTGTAGAAAAGTGCTCTCCCTGTGGAGATGTGATTCCTCTGTTCAAAACTCAGTTTCATGTAGCGCCCCCCTCAGTGATTGTGGTTAGGATAATGTTAGGATTCGGCTTAGGGGAAACAGATTCCAACACAACACCAGCAACAGGAGTTGTGCGCATTCATGAACTATCCTCTTGTTCTTAGGAGGAGGATCTCAGGTTTTATTGTTCTGAAATAAATACAGACCATCTTGAGTTATGATGGGTACAAAGATAATCCAGATGTATCCAAGATTAAACATTAACTGGCTGGAAATGAGAATGGCATTTTAGGGTTATGATTCTGCCCTTTTGAAATGGCAAAACAGCGAAGTTGTCAAATGCCTCTGTTTGACCATTTGTTCCCACTCTGACACGCTCCAAGTCCACCTCTGCTCTCCGAAGCTTTTCCCAGTTGTAATGTTTGTTGCATTTCCTTTTTGAGACTCTGCAGTATTCTCCTGTGAGCTCAAACACATTCTTCACAAGAGGACAACCACACACCTCATCAACTGGGACCTAGACTCCAGAAGAGAGAAAAGCAACAAAAAATGGCAGGCTCCACACAAACACAATGCAGGTCTTAGCAGTTTTTACTGGCTGAATGTGTCAACTGACCTTGGGATCTCTGGAATGTTCTGGACACAAAACCTGAAGCCTCTTAAAAAAAAAAGTAAAGTCAAGTAAAGTAAAATCACCTTTGCATAACATCTCTCCATGTGTCTCAGTGCCACTTTTGGATTGACAGGATGACTACAAGATACACAGAAAATCTGCAGGTCTGTGTCCTCACTATCACCTTCATTCACCTGCAAACAGAACCAAGACATTTTATCCCAAAGTGTTAAACATTTGTTCTTGTTCTTCAGCTTGAAATAAATAGACATGCAGGCTCACCTCCTCGTCCTGCTGAAGCGATGCAGGGACTCTGCTGCCATTGCTGGATACGCTGAGGGAGGATCTCATAGATCCGGCTGAGAATCGGAATGAAGACATTTCACTGCTCCAGACTCAACATGATAAGGATTTCCCTTTAATTTTAATTTAGTTAGCTGAGAGGAAAAGCCCTAGAAACACTGTTTATGGGTCACTATACCAAGGGTATCAATAAAAAAGCAATAGAAGGTAAATAAATTGTGATATTTAGAGATGGCATTGTTGACCCGTTTCTAAGCCGTTCAATACATCTAGCTTCGAGGCCAGGTTTACAACACTGTTTTCATGTGACTGCTGTGTCATTTTGTTCTACAGTCTCTGCTATAGCTGCAGTTCAACTTTCAGCCAGCAGGTTGTGTACAGCCAGTGTTTGGAATGCTGGGAAACATAACGGTTGTTTCAAATGTTTCTAAACTGTTTTGAAAATTCAAAATTGCTATTTCTAGTGTTATTTAATTACAAACTGTGGGTATAAAAATGGAATCAACAGAAAACAGAAACCACAGACAATGCTTTTTATATAAAATAAAATTTTACTTATTGAGAAGGTTCTGAAAAACACGAGTAAGCAGCAGGTAACACATTTCTGAAGCAAATCATTGGATGCTCTTTCATCTTTGAAGCAGCTGGATTTAAAAAGAAATAAACAGTCTATCATGAGTACAACTGTAAGAAGCTTCTCACTTTTACTTTCATGGTGGTTGTTTTCATGGTTTTCTGAAGCTATTGTTGCATCAGAATAGTGATTGATAGATAATTCTCAATATATGCATGTAATTAATGATGGAGAAACATTCAACATGTTTGTTAGACCACAAGGATACATACAGTGTGTTACAGTGAGTACCACTGAATGTAATGTTTATAACAACACTCTATAAGATATCTTTGAATTTCAAGGGGTATATTCAGATTTGGATCGAGATAAGTCACAAGGTTTGTCATGCTTATTACACAATCATTTATTTTTGAATAATTAAATTGATGACACTGCAGACAACTTGTTCTACATGTATTGATCTGTATTACATGTAGAGTATATTTATAGGCTCATGCAAGACTCTGCTGTGCAGCTAGACTACACGTATCAGCAGTGGTGACAGTGGAAAGCTGTGAGATCTGACTGATCTCACACTGACAGACTATGGATCACATCATTTCAGGCACATCTGATGCATTCATTTAACATTTTGTCTCACCGAATGTAAACTAACTATGTGTGTTCACTCATCCAAAATAATAAAGTGCACAGTTATTTCTGCAGAAGCAAGTCAGATGTTTCAAGTTGATATTAGATAAGTGAATACATGACAAATTGACTTGGGGCTCACTCTCCTGGACATTCTCTAAGGAGGTGCAAGTGCTAATAAAAAAAACCAGAAAGGCAGCATCTGTTTTGAATCAGTTGTTTCAGAAATTCCACCATGCCTTCTGCATAAACCACCATTCCAACTGGTCAAGTGTCTTTCAACATGAAATTGCACTCACCGTGTCCAAACTTCTTTTTGAGCTTTTATCATGTTGAGTATGACTGAAAAGGTGACAGGAGTGGCTGCTCCTGGGGTTTGAACTAATGTTAAGAGGTTTAATGTTAGAGAGCATGGCTGCTGGTGCTGCAGTTTGGAAAGGGACTGTCTTTCAGCATGCTGGGAAAATAATGTTACCTTTTTGAATAACGGAAAATGTTTGTTGTTCCGTTGTTTTCTGACGTTGCCAGCACAGGTCGTTGTATATTTTAAAGCAAATGTCACTCTGTTGATTATCCAGCTTCAGAGCCAAGGAAACCCCTTAGTGATGTGCTGGGTGATGATAGTTAGAAATTCACCCCAGTATCTCTAAAAATTACAGTAACAAAAATGAGCAAAACACCAGTGTTAAATGGGATGCAAGATCGACTGTAGAGGATATTTTGTTTGTCCCCAGGAAAACACCATTTTGTAACCTAAACCAGTGCACCGTGAGTTGCTCAGATGCAAAACAAACACATTTACCAATCATAAATTGTACATTCATGTATCATAGTTAAGAATCTTTTTTATCGTAATAATTAGTCATAGTTTTATCACCCAGCCCTCGCAATGGACACCAACACAAAGAAAATATGGTGTTCATGTGTTTTTTCAAATGACAGATGTTGATATGCTAACCCCTGGACATAGGAACAAATTTTAACCTCTCACACTAAGGTGGCATATTTGAAACATGTTAAAGATCCAAACACTGATTGGGTTTTTTGGCAGACATAATCACTCAGTAATTCACTACCATGAACCTAATTCAGGAAAGACCCCAAATCTTCCCAAATAATAACAACCTGCAGTTATAGGCAGCTATCTCCTTATACCTTCAGATGCTGTTGTACTGAGAAAGCTTTGGGAACCAGTATACTCTGGCTCTTTGAGGAAGTAAGTTTTGCCTGAAATAACTCATAAAAGCTGTGACACTGGCCACTTAAGACCATATTCGCTTTGCACAGTATTTAGCTGACATAAGTTATTTTCCAAGGTAGGACATTCAAGTTGTAGTGTATGTGATATAAGGAGTAAACGACTGACTAGTTCATCTGAAGTATTTTATAATACAACTGTCTGAAAATTCTGTTTATAATGTTAATCTTCAATCATCATTGATTTTCTCTTTAAAGGATTAACCACATTTACCAATTTTGTTAGTGTTATGTACAGCTTTAAACATCACTACTCACAAAGTGTAAACCCATTCTAAACCCACAGAGATAATAATAAAAACAAGTCTGACTCAATAAAGGGAGAGAGAGTTGAACCTTTTTAAAAATTTTATAGAGATTTTAAGAGTTACAGCATTGCAGTAAGCAATAAGGCAAATAATCAAAATCATTATTAATTATTTTGATTGGCTTACAACTAAATGAACCAACTACTACTATTTCTAAATATCATCCTAAGCTGTTATACTGATTAAAACCATTACAGTGGAGCTCTCGATCACTGAACCAAAGTCAGTGTCTTACTATCACCAGTAGTCAGCTGGTAGTCATGGAATTTTGTTGAAAGTTATAATTTCTTCATAGATTTTCCTTTAGGCAGGGACTCAGGATTTTCCTTGCTAATTTTTGGAAGTTATTGAACAGTTCAATTGTTCCTTGTTGACTTCCCGCTCTGGGCAGCGGCTCTATCTTCTTTACATGCCTTCCTCCCCCACAGTCCAGGGTGGCCTGTAGGGGAAAAGCCACAGCCAAGAGGTCCTTTCGGCCTGCCCTTCTGTATTTCTTGGTCTTCTGGATGTCAGAAAAACAACCGCACAGAGCCTCCAGCAGCAACTATTGAGTAAGCTGTTGTTCCTCTTTTTCTTATGGTTTTTAAAGGGTTCTTGTCATGTAGGCTTTGTCCCATCATCCAACCAGATACCACTGCTTTCAACTATTTCCTTTTTTGGCAAGTACCGTCTTTGTTTTTTCAAAGCTATTGCATATCTTTTACAATCAAGGTTAAATATATTGCCCGTAACTAACTTCCTCCTACTGTGATTTAGCATTATCCACTTCTCTTTTTAGTTACATACACATTTCACTCCAATTGTAAAATCACTTTCATTAATTTTTCAATACAATCATTTGTTTTTACCTTACACCTCTAAATGCTACTTATTGTAAATAAAACTTCAGTTTGTTCTCCTGCCAAAGTAAATGGTCTTATACTTGTATAGCGCTTTACAACACACTCAAAGCGCTTTTACTCTACTTGGCCATTCACCCTTTCGCACTCCCAAGCACTCATACATTCACACATCGGTGACATCACTGGGAGCAATTGGGGGTTCAGTGTCTTGCTCAAGGACCCTTCGACATGTTGACTGGACAAGCTGGGAATCAAACTGCTAATCCTCCGGTTAGGGGGCGACCCACTCTACCTCCTGAACCACAGCTGCACCTCCCCCCCCATCCCTCTCCCCCCACCACCACCCCACACCACCACCACCTTTAGCTTTTTGATTATTCTTCTCTTGTTTCCAGTTCCTCTTGCTGTTGTCAGTTGCCTCTCCTCTCTCCACAATGCTGGACTCTGATGAAGAACTCTCACGGATCTTTTTCTACAAGATAAGAAAGTGAGGGAAACTAACTATAAGATAAACACATCTTAAAGGGTTTAAGTGATAAAAGAGGCCAATACCTTTGCTCTGTTTCAAAATCTTGTGGGTGGTATTTCACCATCATGGAACTTTCCTGTCTTGTACTCAAAGGTTGACAAGTCACGTCCCTCGAGTAATGAGGCCAGTTTTACTTTGCTCCTCACCAGAATACCCTCTGGACTGTGAATGAGAAAAACTGTTACAACTAAAAAGAGTTGTTTTTTCCATCCAGTACAAACGCCTCTAAATACATTCAACATCACTAAGCTAAAACATACAACTGACAACGCTAGGTCAACAAAAACTGAACATTACTGACATTATAAAAGTAAACTAGCAGAACAGTTGTACTGGACCGCATTAGATTATACAAGTGTACCTAATGTAGTGGACACTGTGTTTATGATAGGGTATGTTCTGCCCTCTAAATTAAAAACAACTCTAAAGTTGGATGTTTTATTAAATTCTATGAGACAGTGCTTACCTTCGGTAATATACATCCTTCCTGCCCTTGCTGCTACCTGAGCGCCGAACAACTTCTTTTCGTTTCCAACCCTCTCCGAGTACTGGCCAGTCTTCCCATCCCTCAGGGTGCGATCGCTTACGGCGGGGAATATTTGGCCTGAAATTAATAAAACGGTACTGTTTCAGTTGGGAGGGAATAATTTATTGAGATGGATTGTTGGTGCCTCATATTAAGGGCAGACAAAGAGGAGCTGTGCTCTTTCTACCACACAGACAGTGTGCACTGACCTGAGACATATTTTATTTATTATGTGATTTCATGTGATGTGAACATTGAGACACTGAACATTGGAAAAACTAATAATAATGGCAGTACAACTAAGAGTAACAGACTACAATACAGTGATACCAGTTTGCAGAATATTTTTGTACTTTACTTAGCCTACCTACAGTATAATGCAGAGAACATATGAAGCAATAGGAATTTGAGCGCACACAATTTAATCATTGAAACAGTTAGCCTATTAATAAATGAAAACGATGTAGGCATCTCTTGTATGCACTGGAATTTCTTTTACTCAGTAAATGTAATGTCCTGCTCCAGTTTGTCACTCTGTTGGATGTATGAGCATACAGCTGTGCACAGGATTTACATTTTTAACAAAGATAGGCTACTACAAACTGAGCAATCATATCAAGCAGAAGCTGCACTCTACTATTCATTGAGCAGCTATCATCATGTACATCATAAAATGAATGAATGTTACAACATGACCACACATTGAAGCAAAACATTATTCAACCTACATGCTTTTCTTTTTGAAGGAGGCGGCAGGGTGTGCAGCACTTGGGCTCTTTTCTGTAATGTTTTCCTCCACAGGTGGATCCTCATTGTGAGAGAGTTGGTTTGGAGGTCCCACTGTACTGTGCGAGGAGAAGCTTGTCAAGTTGGGCAGGATGTTTCTGAGCCCCACACAAGTGTGATCTTTCTGTTTGTTGTTCCGTTGTTTTCTGACGTCGCCAGCACAGGTCGCTGCATATTTTAAAGCAAATGTCGCTCTGTTGATTATCCAGCTTTGTTCTCGCTGCCTGCCACGCTCTCACTCCTTTCGTTTTCTCCTGCCAGGCTTTCTTGTTCTGCATCATTCCTATGATAGTTATTGGCACCGTCATAATTTCCCGGTTCTGCCTCAGAGTGCCAGTGTTTTTTAGGTTTTAGCCCAACATGTCAGCCACGCAACTCTAGTGCTGCAGTCAGTAGGACTGTACAGTGAGTTGCTCAGATGCAAAACACATTTACCAATCATAAATTGTACATTCATGTATCAAAGTTAAGAATCTTTTCATCATAATAATTAGTCATAGTTTTATCACCCAGACCTGGCAATGGACACCAACACAAAAAAATTATGGTGTTCATGTGTTTTATTAAATTACAGCTGTTTGAAAGTCACGATATGCTAACCCCTGGATATAGGAACAAATTTTAACCTCTCACACTAAGGTGGCATATTTGAAACATGTTAAAGATCCAAACACTGATTGGGTTTTTTGGCAGACATAATCACTCAGTAATTCACTACCATGAACCTAATTCAGGAAAGACCCCAAATCTTCCCAAATAATAACAACCTGCAGTTATAGGCAGCTATCTCCTTATACCTTCAGATGCTGTTGTACTGAGAAAGCTTTGGGAACCAGTATACTCTGGCTATTTGAGGAAGTAAGTTTTGCCTGAAATAACTCATAAAAGCTGTGACACTGGCCACTTAAGACTGTATTCGCTTTGCACAGTATTTAGCTGACATAAGTTATTTTCCGAGGTAGGACATTCAAGTTGTAGTGTATGTGATATAAGGAGTAAACAACTGACTAGTTCATCTGAAGTATTTTATAATACAACTGTCTGAAAATTCTGTTTATAATGTTAATCTTCAATCATCATTGATTTTCTCTTTAAAGGATTAACCACATTTACCAATTTTGTTAGTGTTATGTACAGCTTTAAACATCACTACTCACAAAGTGTAAACCCATTCTAAACCCACAGAGATAATAATAAAAACAAGTCTGACTCAATAAAGGGAGAGAGAGTTGAACCTTTTTAAAAATTTTATAGAGATTTTAAGAGTTACAGCATTGCAGTAAGCAATAAGGCAAATAATCAAAATCATTATTAATTATTTTGATTGGCTTACAACTAAATGAACCAACTACTACTATTTCTGGCGTAACTAACTTCCTCCTACTGTGATTCAGCATTATCCACTTCTCTTTTTAGTTACATACACATTTCACTCCAAATGTAAAATCATTTTCATTAATTTTTCAATACAATCATTTATTTTTACCTTACACCTCTAAGTGCTACTTATTGTAAACAAAACACACATAAATCATCTTATGATTATCCTTACTTACTAAATATATTAACTTTCTACTTTATGCATTTTAGCTTTAAATGGTAAATGGTCTTATACTTGTATAGCACTTTTCTATGCTTTACAGCACACTCAAAGCGCTTTCACACTATTTGGCCATTCACCCATTCACACTCACAAATGCTCACACATTCACACACTAGTGTCATCACTGGGAGCAACCGGGGGGGGGGGGTTCTGCTTCTCTGAAAGCCGCTGCAGAGGTTCTCGTTGTGTGTGACCTGAAAGTGAAGGTAAATAAGTTATGCCTCAAATAAGTTATGCCTCAAATAAATTGACATGTGAATACCTTACTTGCATTTATGTTCATTTTTTGAAACCAGTTGTTTTTTCTGTAATTGTCTAGCAAGTAAAGGACACACTTCTCTCCCAACATGAAGCAGTAAAAAACCTCCTAAGAAACACAACTGCTGTACTGTGTGCCTTGACAGAGGAAATAGAGACCCGCAAATGTCCTACTGCTAAAGGACTGTATTCATTCCTTGCCACCTATCGCTTCATTGCCACCCTTCACCTGCAAGCCGATGTGCTCCTTCCCCTGGCACACCTCTCTGAGCACTTCTGTTAGGTAATTTCCTAGTCAGATAGATATTGATTAGATATTTGTTGTATTAGGAATGTTTAGTGGAGCCAGGCTGTCTATGCTCAGGCTGTTAAATGCTTAGTCATTCTCATGAGTTTTTTTTGCAGGGTGCATATGGGCCAAGGACAACTAGATAGAAAAGTCTGCAGGCAGGAGGTTATTGCTATTATTATGAGATGTGTAACCGTAATTGTAATCATATTTTCTCATGTGTAAGGTCATGTCAAAATGTTCTTAGATACACACCACTAATCAACAGCCACACACTTTAATTTTCTTCATGTTTTGACTATTGTTATGGTCAGCTGCAAAGCTGGCATATCAGGTGACGTCACGGTTTGACATTGCTGGGTAGAATGGGCTAGCCCAACCAAGGGATAATATTGTATAGGCATTATGATTCAGGGTCTTTCATACTTGGTTCTGCCTGCGTGCAGGATTGGAGGTGGAAGAGATCTGGACGTGTAATGTTAATTTTACCTGTGATTCTTTGAATAAACCAGCACAGTTATTTTTATATATCCAAGAGGTCTACTTCGTCTTTGTGAGTTCCTTGTTAAAAAAGAGCCGGAAAAAGCTTACAAAAATAGCTTTTAGATGGTGCCGTTCGACCCGTGGACCAGACGAACTCTTCAGACGACGAGGTCCACTTTCCTGGACAAGTGGTCCTGATCCAACATTGGCGGTTGGGACCGGATTCGAAATACTGCCGAGTTTGGTAACGGGGGCCCATCGCATGATTAACATGAAGTTCAGCTCCTGCTGAAGTGCCGCTCCCCGGCGCACCTGATCCAGCTCTGAAGAGCCTCTGCATTTCCAGGTCAATGGCAGCATCAGAAGTAACCCCTGTGGATGGCTGTCGACTTTGAGGATCAAAAAACTCTGACATAGCTGTAACAACCGTTGGATAAGTTAAAATATTTTTTATAAGGCCAATGGCTTCATTAAGTCGCTGCTGCTCTTCCATGTCCTCGGCATGATGGAAAGGCGGACCAACGCCCTCCTGTACGAAGATGAGCCAATCAGGAACTGAGAATTCAGTTGCATTTCCGTTTCAATCAAACTCAGTTCCGGTTCAATCAAACTCTCTTACATTCACTATCAAACTCTCTCATACAGACAACTATTCTCTCTCGCATTCACTATCATTCTGTCTCACATTCACTATCATGCTGTTGCCTACACATGACTATTCTCATTCACACAGACCATTAATATCCCTTACATTTGCTATTATTCTGTTTCACATACACTATCAAACTCTCTCACGCAGACAACTATTCTCTCTCGCATTCACTATCATTCTGTCTCACATTCAATATCATTCTCTCTTACTTATGCTATTATTCTGTTTCACATATACTACTAAAATCGCTTACATATTCTATCATAATGTATTACATATACAATTATTCCCTCTTACATATACTGTTATGCAAGAATATAATATATGCATGTGTGCATGCAAGTGTGTGTGTATGAGAATATATGGTGCTGTCTGTGCAAGGTTATGACTGTACATGTAAGAGGGTATAGTAGTGTGTGTGTAAGAGTATAGTAGTGTCTGTGTGAGATTATAACTGTACATGTAAGAGGGTATAGTGATGTCTGTGCGAGATTATGACTGCGCAAGTGAGAGGGTATAGTAGTGTGTGTGTAAGAGTGTAGTGGTGTCTGTGCAAGATTATGACTGTACATGTAAGAGGGTATAGTACTGTGCGTGTAAGAGTATGGTGGTGTTTGTGCAAGACTATGATGTTGTGTGTATGACAGAATGAGTATGACTGTGCAAGTGAGAGGGTATAGTAGTGTGTGTGTAAGAGTATAGTAGTGTCCGTGTGAGATTATGACTGTACGTGTAAGAGGTTATAATAGTGTGTGTGTAAGAGTATAGTTGTGTCTGTGTGAGACAGTATGAATTGTGGCCTAAACGGCCTCTCATAGGGCTGGGCTATCCCCAAACCGGTCTGCTGAGATGGCATGAATGTCAGTGTGACCTCTGATCAACTCCCTACACCAGCGTTTTTCTTCAGCTGCGCGTCTGTTTTCTTGCTGAATTTGAGAAACTTCAGAGAGCTGCAGCCACGGTTGAAACAGCGTTTTTCTTCAGCTGCCGGGGGTGGAGACAGCAGGGCTGCCAGCTTAGAGGGCTACACCTATATTTATAGAAGCTTGGGTTACTGTACATAACCATTGCCTCGCCCTCTAACAGCTCTCGCTATTAAGATAAAAGCGCAGCACACCCCCACCCAAGGGCATTAAAAACACACCTCGGCTTGCCAACATACCCCATAATAACAGCCCAAAACAACATCCTCTCTGCTGCATCAGGACTTGACTGAGACGCAGGTGCAGTCATGCCCATATAACACCTGACTGCCACTGTGAGAAGGCAGAGTGGCAATTTTGTTTAACAGGGGTGGAGAAGTGCAGGAAAGAGAGCGCTTGGAAAAAAACGCACAGATAACAGTTGAATTGCGAGGGTATACAGGCACTATCAGCGCACAGAGACAATCAGATGCTCATATTACACGACTGTTGTTTCACAGTAGTAATAGCAATATTACCAACGGAGAACATTGCCGGTAGCCAGCCACAAACAGGCCGGCAAAAAGAGAACAGGACTACCATGGAGAGTGCACAAATTGTGTGAGTGCAGTAAGGACGCACACAACAATTGCTCGTATTGACACTAAGCAAGAGTAGACGGCTGACAACTAATCATCCGAGCGAATGAATCAGTGCTCGGTGGCGAGTGTGCGCTCGCGTCCCATGACTGGGGGGAGCCTCCTGGTCGCATAGAACTCTCAGGACTGAGTGAACCAGTGAAACTCGGACGTCCCGAAGGTAGAAGCGGTTAAAAAGACATGAAGAAGCACATGAGGCTGCCGTGCAAATGTCCTCCACGGCCATGCCTTTAAAGACAGCAGTGGAGGATGCAATAGCCCTCGTGGAGTGGGCT